AACAAGTGAGGGAGGGCTTGTCTGCTTGTCACTTATTATTATTATAGATCATAGTTGTTGTTATTTGTTATTTTGTTGTATAATAAAAATATTTACCACAATCAAATATCAGCAATAAACTGACGATCAGATAGACTTGGAAATAACTGTCCAATATCAGTTTGATGTCCAGTGTGTGTTTTTATAAAATTGACTTCAACTTTTTCTGCCAAATTAACCACAACCGTGAGACTGCTGGGCAAAATCCACCAATTTTTATACTGCCTTTCATTGTTAAGTGCCTCTTTCCTTTGCTTTTAGAATTAAAGCAGCCTGACCGATGACAGAGAAACTTCATTGTTTTGTGAGTCTTTACGGAAAAGTTCTCGACTTTAACGTATTTGGTTTTTGTACTACTTTCAATAAAACATTTCCACTCCTGAAAAGAGACTAAATTGGAAAATTAAAGTGTTTCACTTTCTAGGATTAGGTTGTGTTCTTCTTGAAAATGAGAAGGCAATTCTGCAACATAACTTGAATAAAAATTATACAAAGGACACTTCTTAGAATCTTTCTTTATTTTGCTATCTTCCGTTGAAGTGTCTACAACATTTTTATGAGTTTCTGTGTATTCAAAACAATTAAACATAACTCCTTATTTGTGTGAACAATCTGAGAACGTTTTGTGATAAGAGAAATGAGAACTGTTACATTCAAACATGTACATAATTTGAATGACGCGCTACACACAAAATCAAGTGCGATTGGATTGGTCAGGATTATACTGACCTGCCAACGGCTAGACGCTAGTCTTTCAACTAAAATTTTACAAGCGGTAATAAATCAAGGGATAAGTTTAGCAGATAAACAAAAGGGTTTTTGTAGTGGAAGATCATGTACAGATGCAATATTCGTTATAAAGCAAATTACTGAGAAATCACTAAAGTGTAATAGACCGACATTTCTGTTTGTGATTGACCTAAGAAAGCTTTTGACAGGGTCAGACTTAGACATGTAATCCAACTTTTGTATAATAGAGAATATCCACAAAATATTATAAAAACTGTCAAAAATAGCTACTAAAATAACAAAATGGAAAACAGAATAGATTGACAACTTACATAACTTATAGAAAAAAGACAGTGGAAAGAATTTGGAATAAGACAAGGAGATTCATTGAGCCCCATTCTCTTCAATTTAATAATGGATGAAATCATTAAAAGCTTTAACAAAGAAATAGGATACAGAATAACAAAGAAAGAAATAAAAATACTTTGTTACGCAGACGATGCAATATTCATAAACAAAGATGAAGATAAACAAATTTAACATAAGAGCAAAAGAATTTATTATGACAATCTCATCTCCGAAAACTAAAAAATAGTACATAAAGACGGTATTACATTTGTGTTTTATTACAGAGCGGCGGCAACCGCTTATACGTATTTCGACGTCTTTACATCTCGTCAGAGCGGTATAGCCACCTCTCTGGATCTAAACAAAATATTTTCCCGTCGTAAACAATAGTTATAAAATAACTATATACGAACGTAACTACGTCATCTAATAACAAAAAGATAAATATCTATAGGTATCTATACCGCTCTGACGAGATCTAAAGAGGTCGAGATACGTATCTAGCCCGATAAGGGGTTGACGCCGCTCTGTATTGAAACAAAAATCTAGTGCCGTCTTTATATTTTATTTTTTTACTCTGACTGGAGTACCACAAATTAAATTCACTACGAATTTTGACCATGATAAACGACATGTGGAATGCAATATTACATACCCTTGTCGACTTATTTATCAATCTGTTTGCTTTGCTAGTTTTAGAAAGCACGGTGGTCAAAATTTGAATTCGATTTCGCCAGGTAGAAATCGTTTGATTTCTCTTTTTTGTTAAACAATAGTATTTAGCAAAGTACCAACCAGAAGTGAAATTAAAATTGACGGCGTTAGTATTCAACAAGTAAAGAAAATAAAATACGTGGAAATTGCACTGTCTAGCTATAAAGATCTGGACAAAGAAATGAGAAATCAAATATAAAAAGCAAATAAACTGGTAGAATGCCATAATAACACTATATGGCGGAAAAAATACATTAAAAATAAGATAAAGTTAATAATTTATAAAGTAAGCCAGTGTATTACCAATAAGAACATATGCCTCACAAACAACAATTGACACATACACAACTTAAAGGCTACTGGAAACGGCAGAGATGAGAGTACTGAGAAGAATTACAGGAAATACACCTAGAGATCGGAAGATAAGTGAAGACATTAGAAAAAAATGTAACGTACACTGTATAAATGAATGGGTATAAAATAGAAAAAAGAATAGAATAACCATATAAGTAGAATGGAGGAGACCTGTGTCGTCAAAATAGCAAGATATAAGTTATCAATCGGTAGAAGAAGTATCGGACGAGAGCGCAAAAGATGTAGTGACAACCTTCCATAGAGAAATTAATTCGCCAATAAACAAGCAGAATTGCTTATAAGGAAGAAAAATAAAATGAAGAATGAAATAAAGAAAAATACAATACAATACAAATACACTTCGGTTATATATTCAGGAGTGAAAATAACGAATTACTTCAAATCATTTTTGAACGTAAAGTGCATATCATAAGATCAGTTGCTAGACGATAGAACTCCTGACTGAGAGACATGCAATTGCCATTTGGATCTTCACTTTTCGAAAGAAAACGGGGCAATAAAAGGAAGATAATTAATATAAATTATTTAATGCATTCGACTCAAACATGTTAGAAAACTACTAAACTAATAGAAAATCAGCTAATTTTTAGGACACTTTCATTAACAGCAGCAAAATAACTTTTCATATTGTTTGACGGAACTTATTTTTCGATTTTTCTGTCTGACAAGTAAAAATTTTTAGGAAAATTAGAGAAAAACTGCCCAAAGACCCCAAAAAAGTCGCAGATGACAATCGTCTAAGACTCGGCCTAATAAAGCGATAGCCAAATGTTAGAGAGTTTCTATTATAAACTTTTTTGCCGACGGGCACTTTAACTAATATTTTTCTTACTTTTACAGTTCTGGCATTATAGTTGAAAAGATAAGATGGTTTTCCTAATCCATTTATCTTTTTTTAATTGAAACTTATAACTTAAATTTCTTTTTGTCATTGATATTGTAGCTTGTAGTGTAGTAACTGTAATATAGTTCTAATAATTCAGCTCATACGAATTTTTAACATATTTTCACTTTAATATATAGGGTTCCCTTTGTTAACTGGATTTAAAACATCCAAATATTTTGATATTGGTATAAAAATAGACTCCAAACACTTTTATCGTATTTGTTTTATTATAGATTTGCCTTTATCCAAACTTCGTTGCATGTTTCTCATCCAATCATTTGTTTGTTGATTATTTGTTTTCTTATTTTGTTTAATATATCAAGAATTTCTTTAATCAACCAATATTTCTTTAAACAAATTGTATTCTTGTATTATATATTATATTATTATATTATATTATATTATATTATATTATATTATATTATATTATATTATATTATATTATATTATATTATATTATATTATATTATATTATATTATATTATATGTATTATATTATATTATATTATATTATATTATATTACATTATATTATATTATATTATATTATATTATATTATATTATATTATATTATATTATATTATATTATATTATATTATATTATATTATATTATATTATATTATATTATATTATATTATATTATATTATATTATATTATATTATATTATATTATATTATATTATATTATATTATATTATATTATATTATATTATATTTTATTATATCTACGTAAGAGCATTTGTGATAACTTCTTATTTATTTGAGTGATAATATTTTTTTAGTTGATTGTTTTCTACGACATTTTTTGATGCTATGGTGGCACATAAATTATTACCTATTTTTACTATAAAAAAAAATGTAAAAAGTGTTTAGTAATACTTGATAGGCAATTGGTAAACCATAAAAGTAACTTATCTATTAGAGATAATCTAAACTATGAGTTAGACAGGAATGCGTATTGTCGCCAATTCTTTTTAATGCCTATTCCGAAGAGATCCTGAAAAACGTTCTTGAGGGTGAAACAGCTGAAATGAAGGTAAGACAGACACTGTGATTATAGCCAAATTTATTTTTTACAACAAGATCTTTAGAGTGGTCACAAGAATACCGGAGTACGGAAAAGAGTACGGTCTCACAATAAATGTCAACAAGACAAAATTTTATGAGAATATCGACAACTTGAAGAAATAACGAGAATCTTCTTATAAATAGAACCAACGTCGAACAAGCGGACAAATATGCATATCCAGGAACAATAATTAACTCCACAAATGATTAAATTGAGATCATAATCAGAATAAAAAAAGCTAGAGCAAATTTTAACAAAATTAAAAGAGTGTTATGTACAAGGGATTTAAAATTGTTTTTCTGACTTTGTTTTATAGAATGGAATCTTTGACCTTGAATGCGACATCAATAAAAAAACTGGAATTATTCGTGCTGTGCTTGTTTCGAAGAATTCTGAAAATATCGTGGAGAGAACACGTCACAAACAAAGAGGTTATAAAAATAATGAATAAAGAAATAGAAATTTTAAATACAATCAAAACAAGAAAATTGGACTATCTCGGAAATATTACACGTGGAAAGAAATACACCTTGCTCCAACTAATTATGTAGGGAAAGATTTGCCGACCTCCGCCTCGAAGATAGCACTTGAAGAAAAAACTATAAGTCATTCGGTCAATAATTATTGTACAACATCAATTTATATTAACTGACTATTTGATTAAAATTTCCAAAGGGAGGTTTAATAAATGTTCGGGAAATATAATCTGGTAATATCAAAAAAAGAATCATTTTTGATATATATTTTTGATTCATTTATCACGTGACATACGACATTTATATGTTTAAAATAAATTAAAAATATTTAGCAACAGAACTCTAAACAAAATATTGACTTACATGTTATAACATCTTTGTTAGCATAGAGGAAGGATGTTACTGAATTTCTCATTGAAATAAGTAATTCTGGATAATAGCTTTGACTCTCCTTTAAGCAGGCTTTACTAAGGCGAACCACTTCTTTGCTACAGTCATTAATGTTTTTTGTAAATTCAGCTTCTGGTACGGAATATATACGATTATTACCTGCACATACTTCGACGTCATCAAATGCTTTCTACAAAGAATCAGTTAAATATTGGATTTAGTAACAGTACATTTATTTAAATATGAATGATTATATATAAATATAATTAGTTTAAATAAATTTAAACCGTTAATTACTGAGCCATCCAGAAGAAATCTAATTCCATTTGACTGTTAAACAAAACTTTAATCGTTTTTGGTTTGATCACTTCCACACACGAATTCAAATTTTAACCTAACTTGTTTTTTTACGAGACGAGGTTTGTCTTTTTAGTTTTTTGTTATGCTATTTACTTAGAGGAAACCACCAATAAAATTTTCTAACAAAAATATTTAAATCTAAAATTTATTGTGATTAATGTAGTCGTGCAGATACAGTCAATTTTAAAAATTAGCCAGTTGGTCGAAAAAAACTTGCAAGCAATATTGTTTCATAATTTTCGGAGAGAGACTATTATCTTAACAACAATGTCTCGATGAACCGAAAAATAAACGATAATCTGTTATGTGGGTATATCACGATGAAAAACCAACAAAAGTGATCCGTTCTCGAAGTGTGTCAAAGAAAATTGTCCCGACGTTTGTGACAAAAATCTGGTAGCAATAAATGTAGCAATTATTGCTTTAGAAAATCGAAGAGCGGGTACTTCTGATTGGTATATAATCGTTTGTTTACCAGAAGTTATTGCAAAATTTCAACAAAGCAACATATAACGGCAAATCATCCTACATGAGGACAATGCAAATGTTCACACTGCCCAAAAGACAATATAGTTTTTGGAGCTTTAAAACATTAAATTGTTAAACCAGCCACCTTGTAGCCCCAACCTTAGTCCCAAAGACTTCTTTACTTTACCAAAAATGTAGAATTCAGTGTGTGGGCAGCGATTTCAGTCACCAGCAGAAGCCATCGATGCTTTTAAAAGAGAGATTTTATGGGTGTCAACTGAAGACCGGAATACCTTTTTTACCAATTGGTTTAAACGTATACAAAGTGTATTGATCTTGGTAGGTCATATTTTGAACGTCAATAAAGTACTTTCACTCTATATATTTTTTGTCTTTGGGGCCATAGGAAAAACTAACAATAAAAAAACCCTTGTAGTAGAAATTTACAAACAATAGGAAATTATCAGGCTACTTTCAGAGCTAAATAATAGGACAAATTAATATTCTTCTTCTTAGGGTGCATGTCCGTTCCGAACGTTGGCGATCATTCTGGTTATGATGACTTTTTTGGTTGCTATACGAAATAGCTGTGTTGAGGTCTTTCTATACCATGCTTTCAGGGTAGCACGCCAGGATATTCTTCTTCCTCCTCGGGCCCTTTTTCCTTCAATTTTACCTTATAAAATGCATTAAAGTAGCTCGTATCTGCCTTGATTTCTCATTATATGGCCCAAGTAATGCATCTTACGGCTTTTCACGTGTTCATTCTCCGTAGTACTTCTTCATTGGTGACTTTGTCTGACCATGGTATGTTCAAGATTCTTCTGTATGACCCTAGCTCAAAAGTCTGAAGTTTTGATATAGTTTCCGCCTTTAATGTCCACGTTTCTACTCCGTACAGAAGCAATGAGTACACATAACATTTAAGGAGCCTTATTTTTGTTTCTAGGGTAAGGCCACGGCTTTTGAACACAGAACTCGTAGTCAAGAATGCACTCTTTGCCTCTTCGATTCCACATTTATTCTCTTGGGTATTGTCCCACAACTTATTGATTATAGTTCCCAAGTAATTGCATTGTAAGGCTCGTTTAATTCTCATTTGGTTCACATACAGATTTGATCCAGTTACGGTTTTCTTGCTGATGATAATTAGCTTGGTTTTGCTGGTGTTTATGTCCAGTCCATATTTTCTACTCTTTTCCGGTATTTTATTCATTTTGCAGCCCTTCTATGGTATTAGAAAACACTATTGTATAATCTGCATACCGCAGGTTATTGAGCTTGACTCCATTTATTGAGATACCTTCATTAATATATTTTAGAGCTTCAAAAATGTGCTCCGAGTACAGATTAAATATCAGTGGTGAAATGATGCACCACTGTCTAACTCCTCTTAAGATTTTAACCTGATCTGTACATTTTCCATCTATTCGGAGTACCGTTGATTGATTACAATTCAGCTTAGCTATTATTTTTACGTCTTTTCCGTCAATTCCTGTCCTCTTCAGCACTTCTATCATTTGTTCATGTCTGACTCTATCGAAAGCCCTCTTGTAATCAATCAGGCATGCAAAGACATCCATTGAGCTTGGCTCCATTTATTGAGATACCTTCATCAATATCTTTTAGAGCTTCAAAAATGTGCTCCAAGTACAGATTAAATATCAGTGGTGAAATTATGCACCCCTGTCTCACTCCTCTTAGGATTTTAACCTGATCTGTACATTCTCCATCTATTCAGAGTACCGCTGATTAATTACAATACAGCTTAGCTATTATTTTTAAGGCTTTTCCGTAAATTCCTGTCCTCTTCAGCACTTCTATCATTTGTTCATGTCTGACTCTATCAAAAGCCCTCTTGTAATCAATCAGGCATGCAAAGACATTACAGCTGATATCTCTACATTGATAAAACAATATATGTACGCTAAATCAAGCTTCCCTTGTACCAACGGCGTTCACAAATCCTAACTGATTGGGCCCAATTTGTTCCTCATTCACGGTATTTCCGGTATCACCGCATTTCCGGTAAATTCTTGTGTGGATGACATTTAAAAACAGCTTCAGCAGACGACTCATTAGGCTTATGGTCCTATAATCTTCACAACTACGGTCCTACGAACTTCGATTTGAGCCACTCTACTGGTATTTTTACTTTATTGTATATTTCATTAAATATTTCAGTTATTATTTTTATTTGTTCTTTTAATAGATTTAACAGTTCTACAGGAATTTCAACTAGTCCTGGTGCCATTCCATCCTTCATTTGTCTGACGGCTGCAGTTATTTCTTCTGGTAGGATTTCGGGACCTGAATTTTCTTCAATGGTGGGCTTTTTTATCGCTCTAAGGTCATGGAAAAACATCTCCAAGTAATATTTTCATACTCTCTTTTTATCTTTTCTAGTAATGGCAAATTGCTTTCATCATCTGTTATTTTTCCGCTGTTGCGTTTTCGGAACTTTCCAGCTATTTCTTTCACCTTTCGATCAATATTAAAGTTATCATATCTACTCTGATACTCAATTACTCTGACTCTACTCAATGACTGATACTTTGTGACTATCAATAATAAACCAATTTCGCTCCGGGCAAATAAACCCAGTTTTTGTGTTCTTTATTTGTGTTTTTTATTGTTTTTGTTTGTGTGTATGTAGTGGTAGTTTAAACAAATGGATGAAAACTCCCCTTCTGACAAAGGAGGGACCCAAAATATGGACCAAGTGGAAGAATGCCTACAAACCAAGGAACAGGAAAAAGGAATTAAGCTGTTTAATCTACAAAAAGGATATCTCTATACGGATAAGGTATATGTATTCATTGAAAAACCAAATGAAGAAAATATTGGCAAACTGCATCCTATGAAGATAGGTCATATTTTACATAAAAAATTAGCAATCAAGAATATTCTTAGTATTGACAGAGTAGGGAAGAATAGGCTTAGAGTACAAGTAAAAAGCCCCAAAGATGCAGATAATTAAGTACAAAATAAAAATTTAAAAGAGGAACAACTAAAAGCATATATCCCAAATAATTTGCTTCAACGAAAAGGCATAATAAGAAACGTAGATACTAATTTTAATGAACAATATCTTTTTGATAATATAATATCCAATATAACAGTAACGGAAGTCACTCGACTCAAAAGGAAAATTGACTTAAATGGAGAAAAAGTATATGTCCCCAGACAAATGGTATTACTAAATTTGAAGGAAACATTTTACCCAGATATGTTTATATAAACTCCGCCTCTGGTAGATACTGGTGGATTGAGTAGCTCAGTAAATGGCAGTGCCGGTCCCAAGCCCGGATGAAGGAGGAGGGTTACAGCGGTAGGTTAGCTCCCCGCCCTGCGTAAAAGAAATATTGCTAAAAATCCCAAGGAACAGCCTCGGAACTCGGATGGCTTCAAAGGAAAACGACATAGGCAAAGAAAAAGGCTAACGAATTTTGGATGTTGGAACATACAAGGACTGAAAACAAAAGAAGATCAAGTATTTAAGGAACTCAGTACATACCGAATTGACATCGCAGTACTCAGCGAAACAAAAAAGAAAGGACAGGGGAACCACTACAAAGACGACTATATATACTTCTGGAGCGGAGTAGAAAAATCAAAAAGAGCCAAAGCTGGAGTAGCGGTCGTGATAAGAAAAAACATGGAAAAATGTATTACCAACTGGAACCCGATAGACGAAAGAATTATAACAGTAGACCTTACAACAAAGGGGAGAGACATAAAAATAATTGGCATCTATGCACCCACGGACGACTCAGATACAAACACTAAAGACATGTTCTTCGACAAACTCTCAGAAGAGTTAAATAAAATAAAAAAAAGACAAGAAATAGTCCTGCTAGGGGACCTGAACGGAAGAGTAGGTAAAGCTCTTGACAACAAAATAATTGGACAACACGGAGAAGATGTAGTAAATGAGAACGGAACAAGATGGTTGGAGGTATGCGAACAACATTCGTTAAAAATACTGAATGGATTTTACAAATATAGAGACATAAATAAATATACATGGACTCAAAAGACAAGAAAACTGCAGTCAATTATAGACTATATAGTAGTTAAACAAGAGACATCTTTAAGACCCTACGATGTAAAAGTTTGGAGAGGGGCAGAATGTACCGGTTTTAAATAAAACGAGCGGTTCGAATTTATATAAATATATTTATTTATAACTTTACAGTTCGGTATTCTCTTATCAACTAAACTTATTCCTAAGATCGTTACATATATATACCAAAGTTACTATTTTCTAGAAAGTTCCCACCTCTAGGCGTACGCGTGACTGATCATTCTCGAAATATCGAGTCGCTTTCGAGACGCCGCATGGAAGCATGAGGTGCTCTT